GAGAGATAATTTGTCCAACGAAGTATAAAAATTACATAAAGTAACCACTTAAAAGAAATCAGGCCACAAATATAAAAGGCGTTTCCCATTCTATACGCATTTAACAAAGAATAACAGGAATAGACTTTTACAATAATTGAAAATAAATATAATGCATTGATAGGTACATTATACTTTTAGAATAAATGAAATTGTATGAAATATTCTGCAAAAATCTAAATCTTACACTTACTAAAACATTTTTTAATATGATTTTTATTGATTTCAGAGAAGGGAAAGGGAGAGAGAGAAACATCACTGATGGGAGAGAATCACTGCTTCCTGCATACCCCCTACAGGGGATCCAGCCTGAAATCTGGACATGTATCCTGACAGGGAATCAACCTGTGACTGAGCAACACTGGCACTAAAACATTTTTATCTCCCCTCTCCCCAAAAGCAAATGTTACACTGGTAATCAATGACATCATACTTAGCCCTAGCCGGTTTGGCTCAGTGGATAGAGCATCATCCTGCGAATTGAAAGGTCCCAGGTTCGATTCCAGTGAATCGCCTGGGTTGTGGGCTTGATCCCCAGTGGGGGACTTGTGGGAGGCAGCCAATCCATGATTCTCTCTCATCATGGATGTTTCTACCTCTCTCTCCCTCTTCCTTCCTCTTTGAAATCAATAAAAATATATTAAAAAGACATCATAGTTTTATTAATATAATAATGAAATATTTGGTTATTTTAAAACACAAAGTTGTGACTAGTTAAGCCTGAGACTGCTTGAGTCACAACTAGATTTAAAAATACAAATCTAAGAACTATATTTAACAGAGAATTAAAAAATAAACAAAACAAAACTGACCTGGTTGAGAGGCATAGTAGTACAATTAAAAGCTAGGCTGCCTGTGTCCAAACCCTTAATTTACATACATCTAGCAACAAATCAGTGTATATTCTAATACTTCCTTTATAAATGTTCAATAATATTATTTCTCCATTTTTTTAGCTCTTGAGTTGCAATATGCCTACCATCAAGAAGAAATGCTCACGAATATGAATTAAACTAGCCTCAGTTATGATGGGGGAAAAAACACCAATTTGTACTAAGCCTTTTCTTTCCATTATGAAAAGACTTTCATTATGTTTTTACAAATATCCTTCTTACAAATATCAGCTATACCTCCATTTCTATATTTTGTCATCAGTGTAATATTCCACCTCCCATCACCAATTGTAGCATCCTTTCAATATGCTAAACTTCTAAGAAGGCAAATACAAATACAGAAAGCCCTCATTTTTATAAAGTTCTAATTTAGAAACATTTTAATTGCCAGATTAAATAACATCATTTCCCCTCAATAGCATGTGTCAAATTTCTGTAAGTATATTAACTGAGTAATTATAGAGAATACAAACTTCACTATCTCTTTAGTTCACACATTACTAATAACTGAAATAACAGATACACATTGTGATCAATAAGTAGTCACATCACTTTTTTCAAAGAGTGTTGGTGATTGATCACTGAGCATCTGTTGTTTATGCAGAGAACAAAACATGCAGTGTTATCTCATTGTCCAGTGATACTAAAAAGAATAACAGAAATGAGGCCAATAAAGATGAAATACAGCAAAGAAACGAAAAGTGACAATATGGGGAAGTGAAATCTGAATAGAAATTAAATAGAGTTAGAAAAGAAATAGCTGGCTAAGAGGTTGACATTATCATTGTTCTGCACAAAATGTACAGCCAAAGAACTTAGTGAAGATGGACTTATTGACATAAATGAGAAAGCAGTTGTGATAAAAAGGATAAAGATGCCCCAGAGGAAATGACACTGGCAAAAACGCTTCCTACTGAAGAACTCTCAGAGATATTTCACAACACTGGACAAAAAGTTGAAAACTGATTCAAACTTAGGAGCATGCCAATTTGCCATGGCACAGGAAAGCTGTCTGTTTCTATCTTAAGAACATAGCTTTCATATATCTTAAGATATATGGAAAGAAGTAGGCAAACACTGTTCAAACTACTCCTGATAAGTTTCTTTTTTTTTTTTTACACAGAGAAATAAATGTACTCTTGTAACCTCTCTAGGCCCCATGCTTTTTATCTGCAAATTCAAAGGATATTATTCATGCTACCTAGGGCTATGTTAGGTAAAGTGCTAAACAACAGCATTATATACATACAATATTTAGTCTAAGATAGCAAGAAACAAAATGCTACATAAAATTAACCTGCTTTGCAGAATTTATTTAATGACTAAATTTTTTTTACCTTGGTAACTTTTTATACAGGAATCGCTTTAGATCCTGAAAGAGAACATTAACAAATGATTTAATAACATGCTTTATACTAATTCTTTAGATCTTGCCCTATTCACATTTCAGGGACCTTACGCCATCATTCCTAACCTTCCTGTTTGTGTTTTCCTTCCCTTTCTGATTTTGATACTCAATGGCAGTTTGACTTTAAGAAGTTAACCTTTTTCTCTTAAGCCTCAGTTTCATTATTTGTTGAGTAGGGACAATAGCACAATCTAGGTCTTAAGACTTTTTTAAAGTTTATTGAGTAGATGCATGTAAAGTGATTAGCATATCTAGAAATGGGAAACACAAATATATATTAGCTGTAAAATTAGGTCATATTTTCATATTATTTCAAATCCTGTTGCTATTGTTGTGTTCACTTGAGAATATATTATGAATATCTTTCCATCTATACACATTACTAACAATCCTGGGTAAATTCACTTATTTCTCTGAAATTTAATTTCCTCACATGACTAAATATATGATGTCAAGTGTTTATTTAGCATGTGACATAATTATGACAAGAAAAAACTATTTTATTTTGTTTTAATACACTTGATCATCTGGGGAATTTTATTGATAAGCAGGTATCAATTAAGAGCTCTACAAAGATAAATAAGATACCTATTGTTTTGAACCAACCCTACAATTCTCCAAACCTTAATGTTCATTTTATTTCATGTTACCACCACCAGTTTAGTTTTCCTCTCATTTTAAACATACACAAGAAAATCTCAACTTATCAAGGTGTCATCTAAAATCCAAATTTCTCAATCATTTTGTTCCCACTAATGGCACTACCAAACCCATTATTCAGGTTAGAAGCTATGAGTAATAGTTAACCCTAACCTCACACTTGTCACTTTTAAATCACCTGTGAAGTCAAATGTTTTTAAACTGATTCCTTCTCCTTTTCAACAGACATTACAGTTTACTTTCAATTTATTATTTATGACTTGCACTAACCTCCCAATTGGTATACTGGTCTCATGTTTCTATCCTATGCAGTTCTACATAGTGCCAAGAGTCCAATTTTCCTCCTTCTCTAAAGCCATAATTGCAATGATTTTCAACCTTTGCAATGGATAACATATGAGGAGCATTAACACACACACACACACTCTGATGTCAAAGTTGGAGGGGCTCCCCAGATGATTCCCTGTGCAGCCGGTTCAGAACCAATGTCTGAAAGGCTCTCAACTCTGTACTGAACTATGTACAAACTAGAGGCCCAATGCATGAAATTTGTGCAAGGGCCTTGGCCCCCACCGCTGCAGTGGTCATCTCTGCTTCAGCCCCCGCCCACTGGGGCTTTGTCCAGAAGGAAGGACTTCTGGAAGGACGTCCAGTCTAATTAGCATATTATGCTTTTATTTTTACAGATTCTTTAGACATTTGAGACTCTACAACATGGCATATGGCTAAGTTTACAGCCCTGCTTCCAACCATTCCCTCATACATACACTTAGCCCCAGCTAAATTGGACTGTTCACAGCTCTTCCATACACACCTCTCACTTTCCTAAGTCTGCTTAGACTATTCATTCTTGTAGTAATATTCTGCCTCTCTTACTTTTTAAAAAGTTGCCACTCATCATTTAGAGCTATTATCAACCACCAAATACTCCAAACAAGCTATCCTGATAGACACAAACCAGAGGTAATCACTTGAAGTTTTCACACAGTAATGTATGCATAACTATGATCCCTTGCATAGCATTTTTTTTTAAGTTGTAAAACTCTGACGTAGAGGAACTATACCTTAATCTTCATTATTTCACCCTCAGTCCTTATGACAGATACCTTTGCAAGACAGATACTCGATAGATAGTGATTTGATTATGCCTAATAAGGTCTCAAAAATATAGTGAAGACATCCAAAAATGGAGAGGTAAGGGCATTCAATGTTGCTTACTATTGAAACACATAATCTTACAATCTGAAAAGAAACCAGATTCATATTAATGCTGAATGACTATTTAGTGTAATGGTTAAGAGCATGGACTCTGGAGCGAAACTGCCTGAGTTGGTATCTGGACCCCACAAGTACTAGCTGTGTAATCTGAGGCAAGTTACCTGATCTTTCTGTGCCTTATCATCATTTATACCACCGCAGTGACAGTGCTTACCTCACAAAAGTTACAAGAAGTGAATATATGTTCAGTATTTAGAACACCCAGCATGTACGTAGGCAAAGTAACAGGAAGCAAAACAGAGCCATTAGTATGAGTATTAATGTCCTGTATTTTCTAGTAACTAGCACAAGTTACCTAAACTTAGAATTTGACTTTTGTTACTGTGTTGAAGAGCTGTCAGCTGGAAATTAACTAAAATGGCTACAATGAACCTAGAAAGACACCAAGACCACTTGCTGAAAAAAAAAAAAAAAAAGGATTCCGAGCAGCAAACCACAATTTAGACACTCCAATGGCAAATGTTCAGAGCCTCTTATGCCCACAGGATTTGGGGAGCACGAACAGGCAACTCGGTGTCCGGCACCCCCATTCCAAGACCCACTCAGGACCCCAGCAAATCCATTCACATTAGTCTCTCACTGCAGAGCCTACAGAAAATAATTACGGGGCTGGGGAGCAAAACGAAACAAATTTCTACTTGGGAAGCGCTACCTCTCCCCGCCCAGTAGTCTCCTCCAAACTCTCCACCCTCTCCTTGCTCTTGTGCTGGGGGGTAACTCACATCCGCCATGACGAACCCCTTTCTCCCGCAGGTTCGATATCCACGCCTGAAAAAGAAACTCGAGGTGACTCTCCCGTCAACATCCCCTCGCACCCCGACCCTAACAAGCTCTAGGACGTGGGGACAACCGAAGGGAGTCGGAGGTCCCAGAGACCGATATGCCTCAGCCCACTCCACCTCCCCAACCCCCGGGGTCTCAGTCCAAAGCGCCCACTCCTCTTCCAGCTCAACGCCCGCGCCGCCCGCGGGCCCAGACCCGAACACCCGGCAAATGGCCCAGTTACCTGGGCTCTCTCGCAGCAAGGTTCGCGGTTGTCCGCTGCCTCTTCAGGGACCAGCTTCCAAGACAGGTTCCTCAGTAAGCCGCCGTCACATGACTTGTGACCTCCTTGGTGCCCCAGGATGCACTCCCTACGCCTCCGAAGCGCGTGGACACGGCACTTCCGGGGCGGGGCAACGCACGCCGTGCGCCCGGGCAGGCGTCGCGCCCCGCCCCCACACCTCCGGCCCTCCGCCTCCTGCGCCTGCGCAGACGCCAGGGGGCGTGGCCGCTGGGATCCCCGCGGTCCCGGTTGGCACCGGGTCGTTGCGAGTTTCCCCGCCGTTAAGTCCAGCGGAGACGTTTGTCTTGTGCGGAGTGTATGATTTACACTCTTTTTGGGATCCGGCATCCTAAGGCCTTTCCTTTCGTTGAACAAATTTGCAGATGTGATCAGCAGCAAGCACCAGGCTGCCGGTTAGGAGTCCCGTGGTTTCCTAGTCTCTGGGCTTTCCCCTGTTGGCCCCCTGGCAGGCATATTCGGAACCTCTCCCATGCACGCAGGCCTGGCCCCCATGGCGCCCCGCTCGGGGGTCCTGCCCTTTCAGCGATTCTCCTGTTATTCTCATTTCAGGGGCCAAGGGAGACAGCTGACCGGCTGAGAAAAGCAGCCCTAGGCCCGGTTTCCCGCCACCGCCGACACCTCTCCCGCCTCTCGCTTGCTGACACGGTTAAACCGTGAGAGAATGTAATAAAGTTCCTTAAACTCTCACAAGGTCTCTTGGCCTGGCTCCTTGTCGGCGGGGACCTAACAGTTAGGTGCTGAGACCCAGGATACACAGAAGGAGACGGCAGGGTCACCCTCCCGGCTGCAGGCTCTTCCCGCACCGCACCGGCTACTCCAATCTCCGGTAAGAGTTACTTCCTGTGACCCGGGGCGCGGAGCTAGGGTTCACTTCCGGATCCCTGGCTGCCCCAGAAGGAAAGGATGTGGTTGGTGCTGCTGGAAAGCCTGTGGGGCTGCTACTTCCACCCCCACCTTTTTTTACAGCCTCCTTAAAGTGGTCAAGGTCATGCTATCCCTGTCAAAAAAAATGTATCCGCAAAATGGCCAAAATTATAATTGGCTTTGCAATCTCAGAGTTGTTAAGACAATAAGTGTAACTGAAATGAAGGGTTTTGATAAAGTTTTTCAGTTCTTTACTCTGTAGTCGTCCTTCTCTCTTGTCATATTCCTCCCATCAAATCCTACTCCTCCATGTCAAGCCCCCTTCCAACAGCCCTGGACCTTTCCACCCTACCCTGAGGCTTCTGGTCAGTCCTCCTGCACCTGACTGGCCCCTCAGACCCTCCCTCCAATCTCTCCATTCATTCTGTCCTCCCTTCCCCTCTGATCAACCCCCCAACCCCCCCCCCCCCTCCCCAAGCACTCCTCCGAAGGCCCCTGTGTCTCTGGACTCCACCTCTTCATCCACACCCTCATCCTTCTTACTGAGCCAGCCCCATGTCACTCGTTCCTGGATAGCCCAGCCTCCAGCCCTTCCCAGCTTCTGTACTGCAGACCCTTCCTATTTGGGAACATCCCAACCACCTCTAGCCCTTTGTGGGGTTATCTCTCCACTCTGGACCTCACTGGTCTCCTCCATCAGCAACATGCCGACACAGTTCTCCCTAAGCCTACCAATGACTCTCTCCCCCTCCCCCCCATCCTCCACTAAAGCCAAGAGACTGGATATTCTTCTAGTATCCAGCAGCCTGGGGACCCTAAAGCCCAGATGGACGGGCCCACACACACCAGGTACTTCTGACCACACCGAAGGCGGCCAAGTTACAGGGATATCCTTCCTCACTCCACTCTTCTTCAGTTGAAGTGAGCCCCTGCTCCCCAGGCTCCAACAGTCTGTTTGTATTGGAGTGTCAGCCTCGGACCAACCCACTCAAATTCACAAAAATTCCCAAGGAACTGTAAGCCCCGGGCCTTTACCTAATCCCCTGTAAGCCAGACCCCCTCCCACCCCCATTGCCCCTTACTGCTCTGTCTGTACCGGTCCCTGCCTCACTGGTACTCTGCACCTCATAACAGCTGTTCCTCTCTCAGCTCCCACCCTCCACTGAATCTTACCTCTTGTCTTTCCTGTGGGACACATTCCTCCCAGAGGAATTTCTTGACTATTCCTGGGAACAGATTACAACCTGATCAAACCTGTCCCCGTGATTGACCAAGATACTATAAAATCTTCCCTCTTCTAGTGCCTGGTCTTCCTGTGGGTCATCCTTATCATTCTTGATCTTCTGATGTCACCTGGTTGGAACTACGCTTAACACAGTTAGGGTTGTACGATGATCTCCTTAATCCTTCTCCCCTTACTCTGTACCCAGATTTACCCCATACCTCTAAAAAACCTCCTAAGACCTCACTCTCTCTCTCGAACCCTAGACCTAACATATCTTCTCATCATAACCTGTTTTCCCCTCTTTTCAGCTAGCTACATGGCAACCCCAACCTCCCTACATGCATAGGCCAACTCCAGTCTATCTTTCCGCTACAAGGTACATGGAGGACTCCCATTCCAACTCATGCACCTCGATAAAAATTTATAACTTCAAAATCACAGAATTGACTAAAGGATCACTCACAGGCAGGGCTGTACAGTTACTCCAGGCATACTTAAACAGCATAACCCAACACCACTCCAACAAAGTCCCCATCTTAAGATCAATAACAACCAACACCATCATAGTATCTCAGGCCCCTCTCTGCATCAACAGGACACACCCTGCAGGAAAGGTTTTAGGATACCTTGAACAACACCTATGCCACTATACTCTTGAAATTCAGCTCTCTTTCAAGCGCTGGGCAAGCTATGTAGTTACCCAAACAGCCTACTTCTTAAAGCCTGTTCAGTTCTCAGCCTGGCCTACCATCTCAGCAACCTTCCCAACAACCCACACCTCCCACTTCTGTTCAGGTTGACCTCTTTCCTGCGTTAACTACTTCCCATGGCAGGATTGCAAATTACAGTTTTGTTCTAACTGCCGCCAGATCCCCTCCCATGGCCTCACACACTCCAAATTTGGGGTAGACACTGACGGAAAATACATATTTTTTGAGAATACCACCACAGGGGCTACCCAGGTCAATCCTGGAGGCCCTTTTCAGCTCCTTACAGGAGCAACCTTGGCTGGAACCCTTTCTGTTTGGGAAAATGAAAACAACAAGCTCACTCACCTCTTCACCATCGAAAAAAACTTCTGCTTAAAAAATCAAGGAATCTTGTTATTGTGAGGTACCAATACTTATCTCTGTCTGCCAGCCAACTGGACTGGGACCTGTACCCTAGTCCATCACCCCTGAGATAGACATTGCCCCTAATAACCAGTCCTTTAAGCTTCTCACCGCTTACTCTGGGAGCAGGAAGAACAAACTAGATGGTAGGGCCTCAAAATTCCAACAACTTTCAGAATCCTGGGCACCTGGCCACAGAATCTAAACTGGACCTCCTGGCTTCTACCTTTATTTTATATATATATATATATATATATATATATATATATATATATAAAATAAATATATATATTATTGATTTTTTACAGAGAGGAAGGGAGAGGGATAGAGAGTTAGAAACATCAACATGGATCAGCTGCCTCCTGCACAACCCCTACTGGGGAGGTGCCCGCAACCAAGGTACATGCCCTTGACTGGAATCGAACCTGGGACCTTTCAGTCTGTAGGCCTATGCTCTATTCATTTAGCCAAACCGATTAGGGCCTGGCTTCTACCTTTAGTTGGATCCCTCTTACTGTTCTTTCTGGCACTGATCTTTGGCTCATGCATCCTAAGAGCCGTTTCTTCCTCCAAAACTACATCCAGACTATCACCAATAGATCTATAGGGGAAATAATGCTTCTCGTCCTATATTAGATATCATCCCCTCCCTCAGTCCCTGACTAAGTAGGGACAGCTCTATGCCCCACCTGAGCAGGAAGAAGCTGCAGAAGAATGAGATCAATCTCCCTCATCAGCCCCAGTTCACAGAAGGAAAATAAAAGGATAGAACATTAGGCATATTCTGAATCATTCCCCTGCACTCAGTACTTTTCCATTGTACCACACTTGGATCTCGTGCTCTCTCTGCACTTTTTCTGTTATTATTTCAGGTGTCACAGAGAAAGCTGAAGGGCTAAGAAAATCAGCTTTAGACCTGGCTGCTTGTGCCTGCATCCGGTTCCCAGGGACCTTCATGAGAGGCATAAATATCCCACACCCCCTACTCTTGCTTACTGACATGGCTATACTGGTCTCGGCCCACTTTGAGAGGATGTAATAAAATTTCTTAAACTCTCACAAGGTCTCTTTGCCTGGTTCCTATTGGTGCGGACCTAACACCACCTACTGCTCTTTACTTATGGCCTTGTCTGGAGTGACTTGAGGAGCCATGGGCTTTATGGAGTTCTCACAATTATCTGTGTAACTCAACATATGCAAATATTGGATAACTTTCTTTCAAAGGCTCTTGTATTAGAAGGCTGTGCCTGTAAGGAATGCTATTACTTTTTATTTTTTTTTTTGGAGCCTTGTTGTTTGCACATTTTACAGAAACCTATGGTAGACAGAAGGAAATGAAGTCTAGGGGAACTTGTTTATGACTGGTCTTTAGTTCCAATCCCTAGCAAGTACAAAAATAATTAACTCTAGCCCAAGATATGGTGAAAAGAATTGGATATTTATTTTCTATTATTCCTGAGAAGAAGAAATAGCACTTATGTTACAAATGACTTTCATTATTATAAGTGAATTTAGCAGTTCCATAGCAAATGACCTGATTGAAAATCACTTCCTTTTCTTTATTTAAACCCTTATCATCTGGGACACAGCTCCATTAATATTATGCTCTCGTCTATTCTAGTCTCCTAACTTAAATTCAAGCCTGCCTTGGAGTTCTGTGCTATATTTTTTTCTTATTCTGAGAGTGAATTCTAAATCTGCACCTTTTATGAGTTTTAGGTTCATACTTTCAGCTGCTTGGTGGATTGTTGGATAGATTGTCTTACTGTCAGCTCTAACTCAAAAGCTTCAAGGTTTCCAATAAATCTGTTTCTCCTGGTCTATGTCTGTATTGGTTTTATGATTCTACCAGTCATGTATCATGTTTGCACTCTTTTCCTCTTCCTTAACAATGCCATTTGCATCTTTATATATTTTTAAATTCTTCATTCAAACCATTATTCATCATAACTATATCAATAGCTACTTAACAGCAACCAGATAAGCCTTCCTAACACACATTACTCCTACTCAAAATTTTTTTAGTGATGTACCTTTGTAGACAGTGACAAAGTTTTGTCTAACCTGGCACTAACATATCGTTCTATTCTAAACTCATTCTAATGTGAATCCTATATTCCAGCCAATTTAGTTATCTCCCTCATGCATTAACATGTCTTATTTTCTCATACTAGTTATGGAGGTTACTTTAATCTGGAAGGATTGCTTCTCTTGTAGGGGAGGAAAAACTTCCTTCTGCACACTTAGGTTTTATGGCTGGGCCTAAGAATTAATCTGACAAAAATAAGAGGAAAATCATACAAATTTATATATTTTTACTTGTGCATGGGAGTCTTCAAAGGAAAACGAAGATCCAATGAAGCTATTAGGCTCAAAAGCTTATATACCTTTTTAAACAAAAAATGACAAGTTGTGTGGAGATGATAAGACAAAGGGGCTTAGGCTAGGGACAGTTATTGTGGGATGGTAACTATTAAATATATGGCGGGGGGGGGGGGGGGGGAGATAAGGCTATTTTAGTAGGTTTGTTTGTACAGGTCCATTTCATCATCAATCCTCAGTATCTGGTTATAAGGAATGTTTTCTTCCTGGTAGGAAGAAGGCACCTTTCTCAAGGGAAATGTTATGACCTTATTTTTAGGTAGAAAAGGGAGGTCAGAGAGCCTTTACTGCATCTGCTATTTCTTGTGCCTTCAGCTCAAAATAGTTAATATGCCAAAATGGCATACTTTGGTGTGGCATGTTCTGAAACTCTTTTAACTTTTTACCATAGCTATTTAAATCTTGTTTCCCTATAACTCCTCAGAACATTGTTTTTAATTCTTCCAATATTAGTTGACATACAATATTAGTTGACATACAATATTAACTGACATACATTAACTTGACTGCTACAATATTAGGTGTATAACATAGTGATTAGATATTATTTATGAAGTAATCATCTCAATAAGACAATTACCCATCTAACACCATACATAGTTATTCCAATATCATTGACTATATTCCCTATGCCATACTTCACTTTCCCATTACTATTTTTATAACTGCCAGCCTCCCATCCTATCTGGTAACCACCAGTGTTCTGTATTTGAGTTTGTTTCTGTTCATTTATTTTGGTTTTAGATTACACATATAAGTGAAATAATACATATCTGTCTTTGTCTGTCTTATTTCACTGAGCATAATATCCCCATGTCACAGATGGCAAGATTTCATTATTTTTTATGGCCAAGTAATATTCCATTATGTAAAGGTGTCCTGAAAATGCATACACACACTTAGAATAATTATAAAGGCGGTGTTTATTAAAATGCATTTCATTTTCAAAATTGAGCTATCAATTAAACTGTGTATACATTTTTTGGGACACTGTATTTATACCGCATCTTTTTTATCCATTCATCTATTGATGGACACTTAGATTGCTTCCATAACTTGGCTATTGTAAATCATGCTGTAATGGAGATAGGGGTGCATATGTCTTTTCAAATTAGTATTTTGGATTTCTTCAGATAAATTGCTAGGTCATAAGGTAGTTCTGTTCTTGTTTGTTTGTCAGGAACCTCCATACTGTTTTCTATAGTGGCTGCACTAATACAACCCCATCAACAGTGGACTAGGGTTCCCTTTTCTCCATATCATGGCTAATACTTTTGTTTGTTGATTTATTGATGATAGCCATTTTCACATGATATAATATCTCATTGTGGGTTTAATTTGTATTTTCCTGATGACTAGTGATATCGAGCAACTTTTCATATGTCTAATGACCATTTTTATGTCCTCTGAAGAAATGTCTATTCAGATCCTCTATCCACTTTTTACTGGGTTTGTTTTTTTTGGTATTAAGTTGTATGTGTACCTTACATATTTTGTATGTTAACCCCTTATTGGATGTATTTTTGGCATGAATCTATTCTCTTTTTCAGTACTTGTCTTTTTGTTTTATTGATGGTATTCTTCATTTTGCAAAAACTCCGTATTTTCCGGAGTATAAGACGACCCCCCTAATTTTACAGTTAAAACATAGGTTTAGGCCTATATTTGCTGTATAAGACTACCCCCCACTTCAAAGAAAAGACTTACTTTGCTGTCAAGATCTGCAGGTAATTTTTGTGCAATTTTGGTCTTTTGCCCCTGATTTTTGGTTGACTTTTTTTCATTTCAAAAGTCGTCTTATACGCCGGAAAATACGGTAGTTTGGTATGTCCCATTTGTTTTGCATGTGTGTGTGTGTTTTTTTTAGGACCTGGAGAGCCTAGGCCATTAACTGAGGCCAGCTGCCACTATTGCCTGGCTTGGTATTGCTTAGGGAGAGGTACAGGTATACTTAGGCCAGCTGCTGCTTGTTTGGGGTTTGTGGACCTTTGAGAGATTTTTGGAAATTTGCCCCGAATAGGCCAAGGTAGACTGCTTGTGTGGAGGATCAGCTGGAAGAAGTTTGAGCTGGTGCACCATTTGGGTGGGACGAGGTCTCAGAATTATTAGGTAGGCCAAATGGTGTTAGCCAAGGCCACGTTAATGGGAAGCTCAGATTTGTCCCCTGCCTGTACCTACCAACTGTGTGGGGACGGCTCAACCAAGGAAAAATTGTGTCTATGAGCACTTCTAACCACAGAGAGCTTCCCTGCCCTCTCCCCCTCCAGCTTTTGCCTTGAACCTAGTCAATTCAGCTTCTCACCATATGTCCCTGGTGCTTTTGGAGCTGCTGAAACAGTGCTGGAACTCAGAGCAAGTGAGTTTGTGAGTCTGTGCATGGTCCCTTTAGGCCCTGCAGTGCCTAGGTCTCTAGCAGCTCTCAGGATCAGCTACAATCCTCACTGGTTTTTACAGTCAGATGTCATGGGACTTCTCTTCAGGCATTGGAGCACTGCTGAGGATCCTGGTGCGGGGCTGGGACCCCTTGCTCCTTAGGTGAGACCTTAGCAGTGGAACTATCTTAACCATTATACTATGAGTTTGGGAATCACCCATTCTGCATCTTCACCCTTACCAGTCTTAAGTGGCTTTTTCTTTATCTCATTTATAGGAATTCTGTTCAGCTAGTCTTCAAGTGGTTCTCAACAATGGTTGTTCTGTAAATTGAGTTGTAATTTTGATGTGATTGTGGGAGGAGGTGAGCACGTTGTTTACCTACTCCACCTTCTTGACTGCCACTCCATATTATTACCAACAATAATTGATATATGTTTCATGCATAATTATGTGTCATGGTTTTGGTTTATTTCCCTTATGAGACTATAAGGTCTAGAGGACTGGGTCATCTTTTACATTTTTTTTTTTGCCTAAGTTTCTTACACTCAGCAGGCCCTCATTCAACATTTGTGGAATAAAAGTGACTAAAGAAATCATTAATCCTGACCCTAAAACTTTTTTATCCCTCACCATTTCCCCACCCAATACAAACTCTAGTGAAATTTTTAATTTCTGGAAATGCTACCTTTCATTTTAACAAAATTCTCCATGTTAATGGCCATAATAAAGGGAAGTTGACCTGGAAAATATTGCTAATTTTTTTCTTCTTTTTGAGTGAGAAAAAGACAATAGTTTTACAAGATCTCCAAACACTACTGTGTCCTCAAACTTGAAGAACTAATGAGATTTCTAATTTCCAAATGTGGTGATTTCTGAATTACAGCATTTCAGAGGGAGAATTCCTATGTATTGGGATTGACTATTTGCATTTTCTCAGTAATATCACTGCTGTTAGTTGAGACTAGGGGAAATATTTCTTAGCCTAAAAGGTTATCAGCACTATGTACAAGTTCTCCAAAGCAGGGTGGACCAGATGATTCCTGAGGTTCAGGAAGAAACTAGTAGAAATTGTACACATACACACACAAAATTTTTATCTCATCATCCAAATTTTCTATTTTATTATGTATACAACATATTAGTATATTATATAGTTAATAAACATACATTGTTGAGTTCCAAACTTGATTGATTATAACAGAGTTAAATTTCTCTTAGCTGTTGTATAAGGCAGAGTTCTCCACTTTTTAAAAATGCTTCTTTCCTATTAGAAAATCAACAATCATCTGGATTTT